CTGTGCAGCTCGGGGGCGGGGCACATGGAAGTGACTGTCCTACTAACACTGTGTGTCTTCCAGTGGTGGACGGAGGAAGTAACTGGGCGGTGTGTGGGCGGAGCTCCGGTGTGGTGATGATGCCGGTCAGACGAGGAGCTTGCCATACGGTGCAGATGGAGGTCATGCCCCTGTTTGCCGGACACTTACCGTACCCCGATGTCCAGCTCTTCCGGTACCTCCCGCACCACGCTCACTCTCAGCAGCTGGACTCCGGTGAGTATCTGCAGCCGTGACACCCCCGGCGCCGGGGGCAGGGCCAACACTTCTGGGGGTAGAATGTGTCTCGGGGGGGCATTGTGAACGCATAGTGCCGCCAGATACCTGACAGAGGGCCAAAGGGCCCCGGAATATCTGACAGTCCTAGGTACGGATCGGCCTCGCAGATATGTGCCGTCTACTGACAGAGAGGCTGCTGGATATATGACTGGCATGCCCAATTCACACAAGCTCCCCCTCCCCCTCAGGCCTTTCTGTGAGGGCGGGGCATGCCATTCTGAGATGAGGGGGGGCGGAGCATGTCAGTCTGAGGGGGGGCGGAGCATGTCAGTCTGAGGGGGGGCGGAGCATGTCAGTCTGAGGGGGGGCGGAGCATGTCAGTCTGAGGGGGGGCGGAGCATGTCAGTCTGAGGGGGGGCGGAGCATGTCAGTCTGAGGGGGGGCGGAGCATGTCAGTCTGAGGGGGGGCGGAGCATGTCAGTCTGAGGGGGGGCGGAGCATGTCAGTCTGAGGGGGGGCGGAGCATGTCAGTCTGAGGGGGGGCGGAGCATGTCAGTCTGAGGGGGGGCGGAGCATGTCAGTCTGAGGGGGGGCGGAGCATGTCAGTCTGAGGGGGGGCGGAGCATGTCAGTCTGAGGGGGGGCGGAGCATGTCAGTCTGAGGGGGGGCGGAGCATGTCAGTCTGAGGGGGGGCGGAGCATGTCAGTCTGAGGGGGGGCGGAGCATGTCAGTCTGAGGGGGGGCGGAGCATGTCAGTCTGAGGGGGGGCGGAGCATGTCAGTCTGAGGGGGGGCGGAGCATGTCAGTCTGAGGGGGGGCGGAGCATGTCAGTCTGAGGGGGGGCGGAGCATGTCAGTCTGAGGGGGGGCGGAGCATGTCAGTCTGAGGGGGGGCGGAGCATGTCAGTCTGAGGGGGGGCGGAGCATGTCAGTCTGAGGGGGGGCGGAGCATGTCAGTCTGAGGGGGGGCGGAGCATGTCAGTCTGAGGGGGGGCGGAGCATGTCAGTCTGAGGGGGGGCGGAGCATGTCAGTCTGAGGGGGGGCGGAGCATGTCAGTCTGAGGGGGGGCGGAGCATGTCAGTCTGAGGGGGGGCGGAGCATGTCAGTCTGAGGGGGGGCGGAGCATGTCAGTCTGAGGGGGGGCGGAGCATGTCAGTCTGAGGGGGGGCGGAGCATGTCAGTCTGAGGGGGGGCGGAGCATGTCAGTCTGAGGGGGGGCGGAGCATGTCAGTCTGAGGGGTAGACCTCTGCTGGTCGGTGTTGCTCTGAGGATTCTAAGTGGGAATTTTATTGATGACGATGGGCGGGGCGACGATGGGCGGGGCGACGATGGGCGGGGCGACGATGGGTATTTTATTGATTGGATATTGGTGAGATTGGTGACGGTGATTTCTCTCTCTGCAGACGGCTGGATGGTAAATGACTCGGTGTCGGTGGAGGACCCCTGTGAGGCTCCCAGCAGCTCCCTCTCTCCGGGCCCCTCGGGCCCCTCTACAGAACAGAAAGGACTTCTCATGCCCCGCCTACAACCATTTCACGCTGGGCAGATCGGCAACAATAGCGCGGGGCGTCAGATCCTGGTTATACCGAGTATGGACGACCACGTACTGGAGGTCAACGTCACATGACCCAGCGCCCTGCGCCGCTAGTGGGGGGAGGAGCCAAACATGTATTATGTATATATGGGGGGTGGGTGGAGGTTATGGATTCTCCTGAGCTGTTCCTATAGTGCAATATTCTGCCAGACATTGACAATCCCCGCCCCTCTCTGGGGCCACACGCCTCCCTCTGGGGCCCGCACGGGTCTGGGGCCGGCGCTCTCATACACAGAGGTCCATCTCTTGCATGTTATCTGCTGGTTCTGGGGGTGTCACCGATGATGATGAGAGGGCCCCGTGCCGAGCAGAGATCCGTGTCCGGGGGATGCGCCCTGCTCTCCGGAAGATGCTCCACAAGGGCCACTGCTGAGGGCTGTGATTGGCCAGACACCTGAACTGGGGCTGAAGCTGGTCAGTGATTGGTCCATCTCATTCTCTGCTGATCACTGCACCACCCGGGGGCCCCATGTGACTTCCTCCTCCCTGGATGTAGCTGAACATTATCACAGTGTACGCAGGGATTGGCCCCCCAGGGCTCTGACGGACATAAGATGGTGGGGGGAGGGGCTTAATACATTCTCTATAAGGGACAACATTGCATTGGTGTCCCCCAGAGGTACGGAGCCCGGTGGGGGAGGGGAGGAAGTATCTGCTGCACGTGCGCTCTCACATTCTTGCCGGTCGTATGCAGACGGTGCGCTCAGCCTGTGCATGGTGCTGGGTTTGTTGGATGTGTCCCCGGCGCTGTACACACTACTCTGCTCACCTCTCCGGAGGTTCCTCGCTGCTATACAAGTGCAGAGCCAGAGTCTTCCTGCCGCAGGGCCCG